AAGCAATGTAAAATTATAAATGCAGTACATGATTTCAGTTAAAAAATTATTGTACCTTCTGATAAGTCTAAGTAAGAAAGCAACTTCTTCACCTTGCTCAAATCTATTGAATTCCAGCCAAAACCAAGCAATTGTTTAGTTTTCCTTATAGTGCATATTTACAGAGTATTATGATAACATTATATAGCGTCTTGAGCAGTAATGCCAACTGACAGAATGAACAATCATTTTCCAGAATGATAGTGGTGATTGTGAATACACACACAGTCTCAAGAACTTTCCGGATAATCAAACATTGATCAAGCGCATGATGATAAAATGTGCAGATGTTGCAAATCCATGTCGTCCCCTAGAATTGTGTATTGAATGGGCTGGGAGAATTTCTGAAGAATATTTTGCCCAGGTATGAATTTACTGTTGTTAGAAAATCAAAGAAATGTTTTAGTTTATAATTCTAAAATCTAATGCTTCTGTATGAAAATCTTAATGTAATAATTTTATTTGCTTTACTGAACAACTATTTCCCATTCCCCAATAGTTTTTAATTTAATTCCATTTGTATGGTGCCCTACTTACATATTTGGCTTTGGGTGATTAACATGTTAAAATGGACAATCTGCTTCTCAATCGTCTTGTAAGAGATAGACTCGAATGCCAGAGCAATACCATCAGCTCCTACTATGTTAATTGCTGACAAAACAAATTCTGATCTTGAGATATGAATTGTGTGTGAGAAAAGCAGCAGTAAAATAATCCTAAATAAGAAGTGAAATGCACATGATCTATTACATGTCTGTTTATCTTAGGGTACAGTTTGGTTAAAGCAGACCATGATTTAACATTTCCCCTTATAAAAAGTAGGACAGTAGATCGAGTTTCATTTAGGATTATATTTTCAGTTGCCAACAAACTCAGTTTTGTTCATTGAGTTATATAAGTTGTCTTTGCTAGATCAGTATGAGCCCAATAATTAATTATAAAACAGACCATTGATCTACTTTTGTAATTTTCATCCTGGTTGTAAAGTTGAAAATTTCCCCCCACAGACTGATGAAGAAAAGAAGCAGGGCCTACCAGTTGTGATGCCCGTATTTGATCGAAATACCTGCAGCATCCCTAAGTCTCAGATATCCTTCATTGATTACTTTATAATGGACATGTTTGATGCTTGGGATGGTAAGAATTTTCATTTTTCCTCTTCCCTTTTGAGCAATGCATTTTTTATTGTTTTGCCAAGTGGCCCAACAGGTCTTATGTGTTAAAGGATATCTTTGTCCTTTCCGTTATTTAGAGCCTGAAGGTTGTTCCCTAGCCAGACACAGTTGTTCTGGCAAGAGAATATGAGGGTGGAGGTGGGGAGGGGGAACTCTTCCCATTGATTATGTGGCCTTCTGAAAAGAAGCTTAGAGTTTCATGCTAGTTAAAGTTATTTTAACACTATTTTTAAAAGGCTAGCATGGAGAGAGATTATATTTAAGTGACAGCTGTATGGGATTTAACAATTCTACAACTCTTAATTCTACAGCTGTTTGTTTTTAAATCGGGCAGAAGCACTGAGTTACTGTAAAGGGAAAATGAAACCATAAAATATCAGTACGAAAAACTGCATGGTTTCCCATATAATATAGGTGCGAGATGAAAACCAGTTTGATAAGGATTGGCCATGCTCAGGGGCCACGGAACGCTGATCATTGGCAAGGACAATAGCAATAGCACTTAACAATAGCACTTAGATTTATATACCGCTTCATAGTGCTTTTACAGCCCTCTCTAAGCGGTTTACTGAGTCAGCTTATTGCCCCCAACAATTTGGGTCTTCATTTTACCCACCTCGGAAGGATGGAAGGCTGAGTCAACCTTGAACTGGTGAGATTTGAACTGCCAAACTGCAGCTAGCAGTCAGCTGAAGTAGCCTGCAGTACTGCACTCTAACCACTGTGTCACCTTGGCTCTATATGTTAAAAGCTGTGATTTACAGCAAGAGTTCATTGCTGGAGGAGTCTGAAATTAACTCAGTGGATTTCTCCCATAAATGAATTGGAATGTAATTATATGAATCAGAATTCTCCAAATTTCACAAATGTTTAAATATACATTTTCATGTATTTTTAAAAATGAATTTAAGTCAGATGCATGATGGAATAAATTTGTTAATGAACATGTGCAAAAAACGTATTACGTTCTAAACTGGAAATGATACCCCACATTCTGTTGTAAGCTATACTTGGGGGAGGAAAAATTTTGAAGAGAAGGGCTACGTTACCTGGTTGTGCTACTGCTAGGCATATAAAATGATTCTTTGTATAATGCTAACAATTGATCCTAAATATACAAAGGCTGAAAGAATGCAGAAATTGTTCATGCTTTTAAAACAAGTATGGCATTGCTTCCCCCATCCCACCCTTCTGTATCTCTCAGCATTTGCATATCTACCTGGTCTGATGCAACACCTAGCAAATAACTACAAACACTGGAAAAAATTAGATGAATCAAAGTGTAGGAGCCTTCGTCTCCCTTCAGAGAATAATCTTGGAAGTTGAAGAGAACAAAAGAAAGATCATAGCCTACCATGTACACTGTGAACCATATACTGGTATGGACCCAAGAAGGGTTGAATTTCCTTCACAATGAAGTAACCAACTGGGAAATGCGGAGAAAAATATTGTTTCTCAATTTTAAATAGTTCAAAATTCTATAAAACTGTGGACTTTTTTTGAAATAAAGGACATAATTTAAAGACAAGAAATGGTTTATAAATGCTATCCTGTTTTTTGTGGAATAATAGATCCTTTTAAGGGTAGTTTTATAAAATGATTGTAATTTGTCAAATGATATTTAATTTATTAGCCAAAATCAATTCTATACATAAAATATAAAACAAGAAAAAATAGCTTCTTTGAAAAAAATTATCAACAATATTTAATTTAAAGTTTATTTTACAAAAGCCTTGTTCATAGCAAGTATTACATTATACACTGGTCACTTTTTTGACCCTGAGAACAACTGATTTGAATTCATCCATAGAGACTCTAATATCTCAAACATGGTGATATCTCATTTCCCATTGCATCTACTTCCAGGATCTACTGCAGATCTCTGGGTTTCCTCCTGCCACAGCCATGGGAGACAGAGCTCTACCTTCAGATAGCTAGTCAATCTTATAAGGACCCATTTGCTTGCTTTCTTCCAATTAGTAGAGCAAAAAAGCATATGTGTTGACCCCACTGAATGAGAAATCGTTTCTTAATGTAATTGCTGATCTGTCAGACTTTGTTCTCATTTATACATTTATGATTACTGTGATTCAAGACTGTCTATGTGTGGAGCCCTCCTCCCTATGCAGGTTTCCCAGCAGATTTCATTATCAGGGGCAAGTTTGTATGCACAGAGATAGCTCCCTCACTGGCCCTTTGTTACAGTGAGGACTTGCTGCACACTGTGATTTTTACACACAAGAAATCCTTGTATGTGTTTTGCTTGTTAACTAATCTTTTAGAAAATTGTAGTTGATATAAATTCACAAATTAAACAAGCCCATCGTTTTCTCTGCCTTTTAATAGGTAACATCAGCCATATATGAAAGTCTAGACAACTAGTAAAATGAACAACTAACACTCCATCTTAAAACATTTCTTTGCATCTGCCACAGTATGTCATGCTCTATGATGTTGTACAGTTCCAGATTTCATCTACATGCTTAGAAGAGGAATTGCTGGGACAGATCCTATGAGCAGAAAGTGACAGATGCTTTATATACATGAGCCGTAAATAAAACAAATCCTGCTTATATATTATGTAATATATGAGCCATATTAATAGAAAATCTCCAGAACTGACACCCATACAAAGACCTCCAACCCTCTTTCTTAAAGAAGGGAAATGGATGCTCATCCCTCTATGAGGGGTAGGAAACCCCAGTGCCTTGATGTCCTGGATTGCAGCCATAGCAATTACTCTAAAGACCTTAGTGTTAAGAACATAAGCCACTTATATGCTGAATGCTGAAACCTCTAATATTAAAACTATGTACTTAAAAAACTAAAATAATATAGCCCTAATGATGTGGTTCATATACTGAATGTAACTTTCTCATTCAAGTATGAAGTTTTTACATTAGATGCCAAAGCACAAATATTTTTACATTTACTTTAAACATAGTGGAAAACTGTGATGGGGCTTGCACTGGACAATGAATGAAATCTGTGCTTTTACACAACTGCCATTGATTTAAACTGAGATCACACAGGAGCTATTCCTAACAAATTGAGGTGTTTTTTTTAATTACCTTGACTTCTAGTTTTCATTAAAATAGAAGCATTCTTTAAATAAGCTCATGAGTTTAGACAATCTTCACTTACTTGGTCATTACTCAGATATTATTCTACTTAACTAATAATTTATATAGTACTTTATAAGCAGCTCTTGAAAAATTGACATTTAATGTAGAGTAGTATACTGCCCATCAAAAAGGACTCCGATTCTCTTCTGTATAGTCAGAGAAAATAAAACAGGTGAACTGAAAAATGACAATGATTGTAGCTTAAAGAATGTGCCAACATTTTTCAATGTTTTGTATCAAGTTATGTAAAAGTATACTCTCATAATTCCCATGCTGAGAAATGTACAAAAGCTATATTTTTGTTAAAAATGTAATAGGATCTAACTTTGGTTGCTATGTATTAAAGTGCTACATTGTGTTTAAAAATTTTGCATTTCCTGCAGAATTCATCATTGCTATTATGTATTTCTATCAAAGCCTATATCTAACTAAATTTTAATTAACTTTTATTCATATTGCCTTACTTGCCATTTTATTTGGAATGGATTTGATCCAGAGGAGAACCCTTCCCTTCAGAAAAAAATTGGCAGGGGATATTGTCCAAAACAGTGAAATGTGTTGGAAGTAATAGTAGATCACATTTTGCTTTCACTGCGAGTGTTTTGTATTAACCCTGCTCAAGAGCTGCTCTCGCTTGTGAAATAAAAACTGAATTCAAATCTTTATATACATGCCCAAATTTTATTTTTCCTCATGTACACTATTCAGTTTTTCAATCACAAAATAATAAGCAATGAAGACAACAATACTGTAAAATATGCCTCATATAACAAAAGCCTCGACTTTCAAGAATCCTCCACTTCTGTGTTTACTTGCAGGTCTTTGTTAGCAAAGAATTTTGACGTGCAGAATTCAACAGAGCTGGCTTTGAACCTGTATGTTTCAGCATACTTCTACTAATTTGCACACTAACTTTCTTTGTTCACACATTGTCCTATATAATGTAGACTTTGAAGAACAAATATAGACTACACTATTTTGTCAAAATATTTGAGGTGGCAAATCATTCAGTGAAATTCTTTGCCTAAAAGGTTTATTTTGTACAAATCTGCAACATATTTCTAAAGCTCTAGACAATTCTCTGTAGAAGTCTGTCTCAATGTTCAGTTTAATCCCTGGCGGTATATGGGGAAAGAATAGTTTGACAATCCATAGATCCTAAACTGTTACTTCCTGACAGAGAGGATCCTTCAAAGTCACAAATAAATAAGTTATCACAGAAATTCACTGAAGACTTATCTGGCCAGAATCTCAACATTTGGCATAAAATCATAAGTGTATTTATTATGCTGTATATTAAATTAGAGCAAAGCAAGATCTTCAAAATGAAATACCAATTGACTGCTTCTATTATCTATCATCAAACGCTATTTCTTGGCAAGAAAATATGCCATTCTAATATCTAGTATTTAATAGGGCTGTACAGCAATCTGGATTCAGTCAAAAAGGTGCTTCGGGATATGTAGGATACTCATACACCAACTGCTTGCCATTCCTTAAATGAAATTTCGCTTTTCCTGGGATCTGGCAAAGGGCAGTCATGCAGTTCTAAATAACTAGTGACTGAATTCAAACTGTAGATTTGCATTTGTTTCACCTGTCCTTAAGGAAATGTGAGGAACTGCTTGAAGGCAGCATCAGAACCTTGGTGTATTTATTTGGTGAAAAATCCAAAATTTGGCAATGTCCCTGATTAAGGCATTGTGGGCTAAACAGAATGGTCTGTGTACCAAAATTCAGTTTCTGTGTAGAAACTAACAGTGCTGGGTCCTCATTCATCTAAATTTATGGCAAATTCAAAACACCCCTTAAATATATTTTTTAAAACAAACAAAATTATACCCACAGTTATTTTAAATATTTAATATAAACATCCTATTTGTATTTTATACATTACTTTATCTCAGACCTTAAGTGCAAATCTTCAATTTGTTCCAACTTATGAAATAATATTAAGCTGCGCAGTCTTGATTCTCGTTCTCCATCTTTCCATAGAATAATAAGATGATCAGCAGAACATGTTGCTAGGCCGTGCTCACCAAAATAAAGGAACATCTGCAATTAAAAATCATCAAAATAATGTACTCAACTATCAGATGTCAGAAACATTCCTAATAAATAAAATTAGTTAAGTGTTTTTACATAATTGTACATATTCATTACAATAGTAGCAAAGCAATGAATAGTAATGAACATGTTCAAGATTTATCTTCAGAACATCCAAGCAAACTAGCAATGGTAAAAAAAAAAATTCAGAACAGCTGTAAATAATAAAATTATAATTCCAAAAGTGAACATAAAGGTCAAGATCTAAAAAGTGATTTGAGATATATTAAAAGGCTTGATTACACTGCATGAGGTTTGTAGCCTCATTGTACAAGACACTGTACAAACATTCCCCTATTATAATAGGCCTTCATATTTTTTATGAAATAAATCCAAAATGTCATATGAAGTAGCTGGCAAATTACCAAAATGCAATCAAATTACAACAGTATGCCCACATCTTTATATGAAAGAGACAACTTATTCTATCTTTGGTATAATGTTATGTAAATAGCATTGTGTGGAATTATTGTTTCCATTTTGATTAAATCTATATCTAGTTTTTAGTTCAAATATACTAAATCTGCATGATAAAAGCATCATTTAACAATAAAGTGTTAAATAAAATGCTAAGAATAGTAATAATTTAGTATCTGAGAATTCTGGGCAAGCAGAATATCAAATGAATAAACATATAGCAAATTTCAGCGTAACTCTAATAGCTGAAGACAGATTGGTATCAATCAGAGGTGGGTTTCAGCAGGTTCTGACCAGTTCTGGAGAACCGGTAGCGGAAATTTTGAGTAGTTCGGAGAACCGGTAGTAAAAATTCTGACTGGCCCCGCCCCCATCTATTCTCTATTCCCAAGTCCCAGCTGATCGGGAGGAAATGGGGATTTTGCAGTAACCTTCCCCTGGATTGGGGAGGGAATGGAGATTTTACAGTATCCTTCCCCTGACATGCCCACCAAGGCGCACCCACCAAGCCATGCCATGCCCACCAAGCCACACCCAAGAACCGGTAGTAAAACATTTTGAAACCCACCACTGGTATCAATCCACAAAGTGACACTGTAGGCATAAATAGGTGAGTTTTGTTAAAATAATATACAGGTAGCCCTCATTTAATAACCATTCAAAGTTATAATAGCACTGAAGTGATTTATGTCCATTTTTTATAGTAATGATCTTTGCAGCATTCCATGATCATGTGATCAAAATTTGGAAGCTTGACAGTGGGTTCATATTTAGGACTGTTGCAGCATCCTGGGATCACCTGTCTGACAAGCAAAGTCAAAAGGGAAGCCAGATTCATTTAACAACTGGGTTACTAACTTATCAACTGCAGTGATTCCCTTAACAACTGTGGCAAGAAAGGTCGTAAAATGGGGCAAAACTCACTTAACAAATGTCTCACTTAAGAAGAGAAATTTTGGGCTCAATTGTGGTCGTAAATCGAGGACTACCTGTATTCCCACTAAACAAAAGAAACCATTTTTAAAGAGTCACCTCATAAATAAATCTTCATAGACAGAAATGACAAGTATATTGCATATTTCACCAGTTTTTAGGGAACCTTTTTAACATGATCATTTTGTTTTGCCATGATAGCAAAGCCGTAGCACTTAGACTTATATACCGCTTCACAGTGCTTTACAGTCCTCTCTAAGTGGTTATAACATTTACAGTCTGGATCCTCATTTTACCAACCTCGGAAAGATGGAAGGTTGAGTCAACCTGAGTCAGGATCGAACTCCAGGTTGTGGGCAGACTTAACCTGCAATACTGCAGTTTAAACATGATCATGTAATTTCATACATAGTTATCAAACATTTTTCCTACACCAATGCAGGTATAAGATAAAATGTTCTCAGGACCAAAAAAATCCCCAAGGATGAAACAACCAAAGCCAAGGTAACAGTTATCTTAAAAAGTAGCCACCATACAAAAGCAACTTCTGTTACTGCTGTTCTCGATCCAACAAACCTGCACAGCTGCAGAGTGTCCAATCAGATCCCCAGTAAGGTCAAGGGAAAAAATAGTAGCACACTCTGGTGCCTTTTTAGCTATGTGATTTGCTTGTTTGCTTGTCCTACCAAATCCCCATATATTGAAAAAACCTGGAATATAAAGAAAAGGGTTTTTTTTAAAAAAAGGAGTTGTTTGTCTAGCCACCATTGTTCTGTTTGTTCACACCCAAAATCTGATAATCAAAAACTTTGTTGAATTAGCATTTCTTTTATTTGCATCCATTCTTGCTATTGCCTATGTATAGAGGGTGAGTTGTCAGCCACTGAAGACTAAATTTCACTTCAAAATATTATGTAATCATAAACATGTTATATGTAGGAACAAAAATGTCTAATTCAGATCACATAGTTTGGAATAAGCTAAATCATTAAATGCTAACATTTATTGTGAACAATAGAGCCAATGTTGACTGAAATCAGTTATAAATAATACTAACTATTTACATTAAATAATATACATTTTTGAGCCATAAAATATGCAGCCACAATAAATGGATAAAAATGTAGCTAAAATAATCTGCCCATTGTACTTTAATTTACTATCTGTGTCCTTAGTTCAATAGCCACTGCCAGAGCCTTCTGAAGAGTCATGTCATAACTTCAGGACAAGAGCCTGAGGTAATTATAGTTACCTCAACCTATACAATTATACCTATATAATTATAGTTATATCAACCTTGGTTTTTATATAAACCTTGACTTATTACATAAACCTTGACTTGGTTTTTTTTTGTAAAGGCCAGATTAATTTTCACTAACCCCACCACTTTGCTGTTGCAATGACAAAGTCCTCTTGCAAAAGGTATTCCACTCAAATCTATGTTTCAGCCAGTGAGGAAAAAGCATTTAATCTAGCTTGTTAAAACAACCTGATATTTGCTACTATTATTATCATTTCTAAATAAGGGGCTATCTGAAAGGCATAGTTAAATGTGTAGCTGGAAGGCAGATTTATGGTATATCTGGATACTAGTGCCTCCCTAATGTATGACATTTTTGGAACTAGAGAACTTGCTTGAAAGTTCCAGTAATAACTTGCATTGGCACTTTTAAATTGATTTATTTCGACTACTTTTAACAGAAAAATATACTGCTCAAAAAAATAAAGGGAACACAAGCAGAAGACATCCAGATCTGAATGAATGAAATAGCCTTATTAAATACTTTGTTCTTTATATATAGTAGTTTATACACTGCTCAAACAACTAAAGGGAACACAAAACTACTGTATGTAACGAACAAAGTATTTAATAAGGCTAATTTCATTCATTCAGATCTCGGATGTCTTCTGCTTGTGTTCCCTTTATTTTTTTGAGCAGTGTAGAATAACAGAATTGGAAGGGACCTTGGAGGTCTTCCAGTCCAACCCCAGCACAAGTAGAAGATCCAAATGGTTGTCCAATATCTTTTTAAAAAACTTCTAGAGTTGGAGCATTTACAACTTCTGGAAGCAAATTGTTCCACTGATTACCGGTAATTGTTCTAATTGTCTACTTGGTTCTAGGTTAGTTCTCTCCTTGATTAGTTTCCATCCATTTCTTCTTGTCCTACCTTCAGGCGCTTTAGAATAGGTTGGTCCCCTCTTCTTTATGCCAGCCCCTTAGATATTGGAACAGTGCTATGATTATTATAAACAGGACTGCTTATTCTCCATATAGCAATACACAAACATGCCTTTTCTTCAATATTGGTATACACCCTTTTGGCTGAAACAACCATACCTCTAATTCATTTAGCTATTCATTAAATTTAATGGGATAAAATGTATTCTTGCCATTCCAAGACAATCTATGAGAAAAGCCACACCACCACAACCTACTGTAACCTATTTTTATTCAAGGCTATAATATGGCAATAAGTTTCTTATTCAGAAGGAATAATTCTACTTTACCCATAAAGTGGCTCTAGGATTAAATGCAATTCTTAAACTGAGAAATATTGTTCCATTTAGAGAACGTGTATTTTTCTACTAAAGGCTTTTTACTTTTTTCCTAAAATGAAAATAAAATATTGGCTAGATTCAAATTAAAAAGGATCTGCTTTGTTTTCAAAATTTTCACAAATACTACTAATAATAAAAGGACAGAAGAACATCTTTACTATTATAAATGGGACTCTAAAGTAGATAAGCTATGGCTGATCACACTCATTTTTATGCAATTAATCTTATTTTTTTGTATACAGACCTGATGGAACAGGTTCAGCTGTAAGATGTTGTTTTTCATGTAATTCCCACATACGAACACTACCATCTTCTGAACAAGATATTAATTTTCTATAAGAATAAATCAAATAGTTGTGAAGAAGCATATTTGCACAACTCTACAAAATCAGTTGACACTAATTTTTTAAAAGTAGCGTTTATCTCTAGAATTGCTTTTATTGATTTACCTACGCAATTTGCTATTTTATCAACCAGTCTAGGCAGCTTATAACCAATCATGGTTAAAAAACCCACGTACAATTAAGGCTAAAACAAGTGGTTTCATCACAAATGAGATAATCCAATTTAAACCAAAATGGAAGAGGGAAAAACATGTCTGTGGAAGATTCTATGATAGGTTTTGCTTCTCCTCTGTGGAGCTATGCTGTGGAGCTATGCTATCTCAAAGGATAAAATCTAGGGATTCTCACAGATCCGAGACTTTTGTTTCTTTGTTAATACTTTTTTAAAAAATTATCTTAAATTTAAAAACAGGTTGTTTAGGCTAAAGATTAGGTTGCTTGCACACAGACTATGACAGAATTCAATGTAAGGAAAGTTTAAGACAGAAAATGCATAAATATTAAGCATGTCCCTGATCATTTTTCTGAAAGTAAAGAATGTATGAAATATGTAATGTAAATGGCACCTATTGGGAATGTTGGTAATATGCAGGACAGTGGAATCATGAGCAGTCTTCTGGAAGGCAATCACACGTTTCATCTGAAGGTTATATACATAGATGCCTTTGCCAACAGCAGCAAAAACACACTGGAAAAAATAAGTCAGTAAAACATCTTAACAAAAGGTACATATTTTATGTAAGAGGTTTCCAATTATTTCTAATTAAGTCAAATATGTAAAAAGAGAAGAACTATGCACATCCTGATTTATAACTACTATATTTATTAAAATATATTAGACTTCAGTTTATATTAGTAGTATAATCAAATTATTAATTATATCTAATATGAAACATAAAAACACTTTTTTTAGATATTATTATTACTACTACTGTTGTCAAAATTTATTGGCCACCAAATTTCAGTGGACTCAAAACTACAAAACTATTTTATTAGGTCTTTGCCAGCGACTCAATTATTTAACAGAATAACAGAGTTGGAAGGGACCTTGAAGGTCTTCTAAGGCCAACCCCTGTACAAGTAGGAGACCCTATACCAGTGAGGGCTAACTTTTTTGTCCTTGTGTGCCGAAAGTGCGCATGTGCGCATGGCAGCACACACACGCGTACCCACAGCCATAATACAATGCGTGCACAACACCCCCTGCACATGCGCGCACCACCAACCCACAAGCTCCCCTTCCCCCTGCGCATGTGACCCCCCGTGCCCTGTTTTGGGCCTAGCAGGCCTCCCTGAACCCTCCTGGGACCAAAATAAGGGCATGGGGGGGGGCGCTCCACACACATATGTGCTCCCTGTGCCCCCTCCCCGCATGCCTAAGCTGTTACTGGTGTTATGTCTACCTTGTATGCAGCTTTATTCCTCTCTAGCATTCATCTCCATTGTTTAGTGATGTATTTCCTGCCTCTCTAGGTTTTACCTCTATCTGCTCCTTATGAAACCTTATGAAAAGAAACCCTCATTGAAAATAATGTTTTATTGCAGCATCCCTAAATATACAGCTATGTCTCTTCACCCGCTATGATCGCCTAATCCAGTGATGGCTAACCTTTTTCTCTTTGTGTGCCAAAAGCGAGCCTGTACAACGCTCGTGCCGGCAGCCATAATGCAATGTGTGCCCCACGTGCATGCATGCACGCCCCCTCCATGCATGCGCGCGAGGGGTGGGATTCAAAATTTTTAGCAACCTGTATCACAGTGGGGGGGGGGTGTTTTTGCCCTCCCCAGGCTCTGGAGGCTTTCCTCAAGCCTCTGGGACAGTGAAAACAGCCTTCCCCGGGCTCCAGAGGCCCTCCGGAGGCTGGAAATTGGCCCGTTTCTGCACTTCTGATACAAACGTGCCACTACCCCTGCACTCCTCCCACGCATGCATATGAACCCCGCGCATGTGCGCGTGTCTCCCACATGTGCCCCGCCCCATGCATCCCAAAAATCAGCTGGCCAGCGGGAGGCACACACATGTGCAATGGAGCTGAGCTGGGTGACGGCTCGCATGCCTGCAGAGAGGGCTCTGCGTGCCAGCTGTGGCATGCGTGCCATAGGTTCGCCATCGCAGGCCTAATCTATCCAACTGGCTGCACTTTGACAAGCAGTTGCAAAAATCACTCCGATTTAAGAACAGCACTGATAGTCACTGAATCTAATGTTCTTCCTCCCTACTAAGAGCTAAACAGAAATTTTTCTTTAAAAAAAATTATTTTGGATTGTGGACAAAACTCCTGGTATTTCCAGCATTTTGTACTGCTCTATATACAGATCATTCAGTATTCATTCAAATGCTTAGCAACAGAGATTTTGAACTCAATTTTGGTTGTAAGTCAAGGACCATCATAAACATGTGAATTGGAGATGGAGCAAATTCAATAATCTCAAATTCAATATTCACCATCAGATGCAAGGTTTGCACTAACTCAAAGTATAGCTGATTTCCTGGGTGTTACAGCATTTGAGGTTTTACATTTTAAAAAAAATAATTTGCCAATATTTCTCTTCATGTGCACCAATTATACAAAAATTTACTTAATTGCAAAGGAAGTTATCATTATTTTATGTGTTTAGTACATGTACATTTCGCCTTCCTTCATGGAATTTAAAAGAACATGCATAGTATTCCTAGCTGCATCATAAATCCTCTGACTCATATAGCAAGATCAACTTGACGTACACAGACTGCCAAATACTCTCAGTAAATTATGGTTAGTCAATGAAGTAAACCAAAATGTTAAGATTACTATTAAATATAAGGAAAATAGAAAAACAAGAGGAATATTAAAGAATTTAATTTTTTTCTGAATGAGAATTCATTTCAATGAGGATTTCACTCACAAATTATATTTTTCATATTCCCATGTACCTTATTATTACTAATATTGTACAAAATACATTAAAGTATATTCTACTTCAGTTTTGAAATGAAGTCATCCATCTGCATTTAATGGTCTTATGTATGAATGATTTTCATCTACACTGCTAAAGGAAATTTTCAAACTTAAGACTACTTTATCCATAGACCCTTTGCTTAGGACTGATTAACAGTATTTCTAGTTGGGTTGAACGTAAAATACAACTGAAAAATAATCCAATTATGTAATAAGGTATCATTTATTAACAATGAAACATGTAATTTACATACTTTTTATAGTATTATTTTTACCTCATGATCAGAAGTTAAATCCTGAATTGACATTTCATTTTGACTTTGTGATAATTTTATTTCTTGTTGGGGGTTCACATGAAGAGATGCATCCCAATTGCATTCATACCCTTGCATTGTCCAGTCCAATGAATTCCACACAATCATTTCACCAGCATGGGAGCCAGTCGCAAAAATCAAATCTAGATATCAAAATAGTAAATATTGATATTGATAAATAGCAATCTATTCTTTATTCAAACATTTGGATTTTAAAAATGAACAATATATTATGTTTTATAAAGAGAAATGTTTGCAATGGGTATAATCCTTTCCAAACAGGAAGATTTAGTAAAGTCATAGAGAACATAGAGTAAAATGTTTTATTACTGCAGGCTACTGACGGGTAACAGATGAACTTTAAACTAACCATGGCTTGCTGAAACCAACCATTAAAATATTTCCCAGAAGCTTAATTTCACTTTGCTGTTACATTAGTCTCAGCTCTCTAAAATAGAAACCATAACTTTCTACTAGACAGCAGAACTATGTTGTCTCTTAGTGTATCACAAAAGTCATCTTTATAAGATATAAAGATTTTGTATCTTTACCAAGTCAGCCTACAAGAATGTAACATCTTTATTCCTCCCTGCCCCCCTCCCCATAAGGTAAGTGTAAAGGTTTCCCTCGCACATATGTGCTAGTCGTTCCTGACTCTAAGGGGCGGTGCTCATCTCCGTTTCAAAGCCAAAGAGCCAGCGCTGTCTGAAGACGTCTCCATGGTCATATGGCCGGCATGAATAAATGCCAAAGGCGCACGGAATGCTGTTACCTTCCCACCAAAAGTGGTCCCTATTTTTCTACTTGCATTTTTTACGTGCTTTCGAACTGCTAGGTTGGCAGAAGTTGGGACAAGTAACGGGAGCTCACCCCGTTACGCGGCACTAAGGATTCGAACCGCTGAACTGCTGACTTCCTTCTCCATATTTCTAGTATAGACATTTAGAATATTTAAAAACAAAAACTTCTAACTTTATTAGGGAAAGGTTTATAGAGGTATATAAACTCCAGTTGGCAGAGGTAGAAGATAGTTATGAAAATATGTAATGTGTAATGAGTGTTGTACCAATCGTTACAAATAATAAAACTGGAAACAAGCTTACCACTGACACTGACCAATGACACAATATTATCCTGGTGATCAATAAGTCGTTTTATTTCAGACACATCCCATTCGGTTCCATTTCTGGAAGCTTTCAATTTTAGAATTACTTGGAAGACAAGATTCATGTTAAAAAAAAACTTTATTAAAGTATAGGAAACTATATTAACTGAAATATTGTTCTTTACTTCCTATCAGCAACATGTTTGTAGTAGTTTTCGCCCATGCTACTTTTTTCCAGGATATACCATTCCATTATCATGCCTTCTTTTCTGTGTTTACTTGAGATTATTGTTAGGAAGTATTTGGGGAGGATGAAAGGGGTGAACAATCCCTTTTAATGTTTGAAATTACAATGTTTTGTTATATATGATAGAGATGCTAGAAAATTATCTATCAGTACACTATGCTGCAAATCATCTAGGCTCCTTTCCTTGATTTCAATGAAAAAACTAGATATCACAATTCATAACTATAGTTAACTACAGCAGTCCTTAATTTACAACAATTGAGCTAAAAATTTCTGTTGCTAAGTGAGACATTTGTTAAATAAGTTTTGCCCCATGTTATGACCTTTCTTGCCACATTTGTTAAGTGAATCACTGAGTTGTTAAGTGAATCAGGCTTCCACATTGACTTTGCTTATCAGAAGGCTGCCAAGGGTGACCACATGACCCTGAGACACTACAACCGTCATAAATATGAATCAATTGTCAAGAATTTTGATTAAGTGATCATGGGAATGCTACAATGATCATAAATGTGAAAAACGATAAGTCACTTTTTTCAGTGCCATTATAACTTCAAACGGTCACTAAATGAACTGTTGTAATTCAAAGATTACATGTTCAAGGAAAGAATATCATCATTCTAATACTGATAAACACATTTTAACATATAAAAAGCTGAATAAGATTTTCCCTACTGTAGAGAGTAAAGAAGATAACTTCATGGAGCTATACAAGCTACATTGCCAACCTAAACACTAAGTCGAGAATATCAAGATGTTTGGAAGTGGCTTGCAAGATTGAGGTCAGTCCCACTAGTTAGACCAGGCCAAGAAATCAACTCCACAGTAAGGCTAAGATTAGTTTTATTAAGATTGGCTATAGGAGCAAGATCTTCAATTCTGAATATATTGTACTTTCTATTCCTCTTATAAGGAGGAGTCTGCTCAAGCTACTTCTGAATACTCTGGACATACACTGGACATACACAATGTTTTACGGCTTATTGGAGTTTGCCTATCTCCATCAAGGTCATCTTCCTTATCTCTATAACTATTTATAGCAGGAATGTACAACCACATGTAAATCTGAATGACAGAAGAAAAAAAATATTCCATTCTCAGTGAACTATCAATTTACCTATATTTAGGTATATTACATTTTAATTAATTATATTATATACAAGTTAAACTCCATTTCTTATTCTGGCTCCATCAATTGTTTGAAATGTGAAATGTGGATTCCAGCTCTAGCCATTCAAAGATCAGATGTGGTGCTCAGCCACAAGAGCTGGTACTCCTCTAATTTACAGTGATACTTACTCAATTCTTTGGCAACAGCTGCTGCCACACAATTTTTTGGCAATTCAATCATAGCACTGATATCTTTATTAAGAAAGGGGGAAAGCAGAACAAATAGGAAATTAATATCTAGCTTACATGTTATTTCAAAAAATAATTATGTGCTACTCTCTGACTACTCTCAGAGAGCTACTTAAACCAGTCAATATATGATTTCCAGGTGTTTTGCTCTTCTTAGAAACACTTCCCATGAAAGCCATGAAAAAAAAAGTTATAGAAAACCATTTTTATCTTTCTAGGAGATGAAACACAAAGACACCCGCACTGAAAGATGTTCCGATTTTTTTTATCAACAGATTTTGAGGCAATGGCTAGTGTTGGGAGGGCTTTTGGATATAGCTAAAGATGTGCATGAAGCAGAAAATGTGTTCAAACCTGAAACAAATACTATGTTCAGCAGTTCTGCCAAATTGTGCTGGATGTAGTGTGGTTCAGCAAAAACCAAACCCTCCTCCCCCCAAAATTGGTGGGTTTGGACTTCAGTTGAAAGAAAATCCAGGGTAATCACACAAGCATAATAGGGCAAGACTGGTGTGTTTTCTCCATTTCTTCTATCTTTCCCTGAACGCTCTGTGAGCTGGCCCATCTACTAATTAGCCAAGTGCCTTTCATTCCCTATCTTTTCTTATGCTGCACTTGAAACCAAGGACACCAGTATAAAGGGAGGTACAGAAAGGCAAGCTCTAGGAAAACTGGGGAGATGGGCAGGCAGTTTGGACATGCTGAACTTAAAGTCAGGGGTGGTGGATATCCCATTTGGTCCATCCATCTCCCAATATTCCCAGCGTTTTATTTTTACTGCTTCACCTTTGCTACTGCATACTACCAATGACCTTGGATTTTTCTTCTTCTCCCACATACAAATACTTATTCTTGGAACATTTGTATTCTACTCCATGTCCAGGCCAAAACATACATATCTCAATCCAGACATATATGTCAGGCTTCTCTAGGAATCTTTTGCATGTTTACATCTGGCAATTGTCAAAATGTCCAGTTTTCAAATCAAACTGTGTTTGAAATTGTCAGTATATTATGAAATTAAAAAGAGCTTTCAACATGTCTTCTGTCAATTCACATTTAAAGATATGTTCAGCCAATCTACTACCTGTTTCTTCTACATAATAGCAATTTTAGACCGAGCCAGATCCAAGAATGCAAAATAATTCCTAAAGACTTGGCACACGAACAAGTCAGTTATTAGCAGATAAATCAAGGAAAGAGGCCAACAGCTCTATCTGATACATCAGATCCCATCACAGATCTAATAAACAACCAGATAAGTTGGAATCAGTGTCAGATAAACAAGAATAAAGAAACAAACAATAAGCCATTCAAAGAATAATCAAAGATGAAAGGATATCTCAGTCAAGGATGATAAGCAAACTAATTGGGTTATGAAAAGACACAAGAAAAATGATGGGAAATGCAAGTAAGATTTTGTTGCTGTTATATTTGAAAGTCCTACATATGTCCAGTAAGAAAATAAATTCTAAGAGGTATTCCTTTTTTACCCATATTTTAGAAACAGAAAATAATATATTTGAAATCAATAAATTTGGTATGGGTATGTAAATTTATAGTTCCATATACACTGTTAAATTGTATCTCCCAATTCTGAAATTTGAGAAGATGGGCATTCTAGAAACAAGAAATATAAACAAACATAAATTTCTCAATTGATGAAAAACTTTGGATATATAATTTGTCAATTCCCTTTTTCAAATTAACTTATACTGAAGGAGTGGCAAGACAAGTATGATCCATATTTAATTCATTCTTTAAAAATAAAATAGTGACAAAATTCCAAACTATAAACTTCAAAACTTGAATAACCTAAAATTTTAATTCTTTTTTTCTGTCTCTCTATACATATTCAATATAAATTTCCTTTGCTTGGTTCAGTTTTGTACTTATATTTTTATTCAATGTTTTTCATTTCTGTCTCCTTCCTTTATTAATATCTTATTTTAAATAAAATATTAAAATTTAATATTTGCTTTAGTAATATGTAGGATTTTTTTGTATAGCATATAGTGTATTATTTAATATTAGTTTTTCTTCTAAAATGCAATTTTTATACAGCTGTATATTTAACGTAATTTATATAAAATATTACATATCAACATTTGTATGAAATGTTAATAGTAACCATTTTAACTTTTATTAAGCTTTAATATATGTTATCATTAGAATCAAAGAGACTTTGCCAAATTAATGCTATAACATTTTATAGATTCATTCTACTGTTTAATAAGTTATTTAAATTTGTTTACCTGCATCAGTTAGATGACTTGCCTTACACAAGAGATCTAATTTTCGGTTCCAAACACACAAATCACTTCCTCCAGAAAGCCATACATCCATTCTTTGAAGAACAGTCAAACACTACAAATTACAAAATCAGATATATGTGTAATATTTTTGAAGTATGTTTTCAAATAAAATCATCAGTTTTCAATACTAAAACATTCAATTTCCTACTATCATTCAGATACTAAAACATTTAATTTCCTCCCAGTGACATTTATAATCATTTATAGAGCTTTATGCAGTTTATGAAGCAGAAAGGAACAAAGGGAAAAAAGGGAATTCTAATATTTCAAGATCATGTTGAATTATAAATGCAGTTGAATATGTCTTCTCAAAGGCAAAAAGGTAAAGGTTTCCCGTCTGGACATTCCTGACTCTAGGGGCAATGCTTATGTCTGTTTCTTAGCTGAGGAAGCCAGCATTGTCCAAGGAAATTTCCATGGTTATGTGGCCAGTATGACTATATGCCAAGGCACACAGAATGCAGTTAGCTTCTCATCAAAGTGATACCTTTTTATCTACTTGCATTTGCATGCTTTCAAACTGTTAGGTCACACAGGACTCCGGTCTTGATCCCAGGCTGTCAGCTTTCCAGCTGACAAGTTCAGCATCTTTACCCTCTGAGCCATTGTGCCCCCTATATTCAATAACACTTATTTTTTAAATTAAGTAGGATTGCAATCTATATTTTTCAAATCTTTGAAATAGATTTTTTGTCAAGACAATATCACATTAAGAAAGTTTTTATATCCCACATCTAATTTTGTTTAAAAGGAAGCAACTCAAAATGAAACTTTAAATACCACAAAAATAATTAGTCCTTGAGATGTTCCAGGTTTTGCAAATAGGTCAACATTAAATATACAAAACTGAAATTAAGATTTTACATTACAGAGAAGTTACCATATAGTAGCTCAGTATGCCACCTGAAAAGTATCAATATTAAAGACCAATACTGACATTGCTTTCCACATTCTGTGTCAGATAGAAACCTAGTACAGACGATCTTGACTTATGACTAGTTGTTTAATGACCATTCAAAGATGTCAGCTTGTAAAGACTGCTTTGTGGCCTGTAAAGCATTTCTGCCTATCATAAAACATTGCACACCCTTGGTCACATGACCACATTTCGGGCATTGAGAAACTGACTCACATTTACAACTGATTTCCAAGTGCCCCATGATCATGTGGTTGTCATTTCCTATCTTCTCTACCAGCTTTCCCTGAAAGTCAATAGAGAAGACAGCATGAAGGTTGCAAGCAAAGGAGAAAAGGGAAGCTGAAATCCTTCAAGATTTCATCTCCGTACCTGCAGTCTGCTGAAGGATCTCCTTTTGGTACACAGTGGGGAGCTGAAATCCTTTGGTGGCTGCAGGAAAGCTTAAGAATGAAAGACAGGGAGCTCTTTTGATCCATCTTTTGGATCACTTAATAACTGCAACTAGTAGTGCTGGGATTGTAGTTGTTGAGCAAAGCAGTCATGTGAGCATCTTGTTTAATGATTGCTTCATTCAGCAATCAAGATTCCGGTTTCCATTGTGATCATTAAATGAAAATTTTGTGCAATTCTCTAATAAATGATAGAAACATGTATTTGTGCATTTAAAGGAGTCTTTCACCATAATCTCAAAGATGTAATTTGAGAAGTAATCAAGAATACATTGGTTGCAATCCATAGGCTTCCAAGATTATACAAAGCTATTTATAGTAGTGATTAATATTCTTGTAAATGGACAAAGTGATTGAATCCATCCTATTATAATGTGCTCTAATTAAGAAGATTGAAAATATATGGTTCACTGAACTCTCAAGGTATCTAAAAAGGAACCCAAAGTATCTAAGATTAGACACAGGTAAACACTAAACCTGCAAATTTGTTAGCCGCGATTGGGTTCTACAGCATGTAACAAATATGTAGCTGATAGAGCTGCATCCTTAAAACTGATGGCGTAGGATTAAAATCTAAATAAATGAAATAGATAAAATCACATCCAGTTTTACTTACCTTTACGGTGGAATGAAAACATGATACTTTGTGAATTTGTCTGCCATTATCACAATCCCAAACCTGATTTCAATTATTAAGGACTAAGAATAGCAGCTGAAATATCTTATGTGACTATAATAAAAAAAAATTGAGGCATAAAATGGAGGAGTCCATTAGATATTATTCTATTTCCCACACTATTTCCTATGCAAAAGTGTTTCCTTGAGCCTCTTACTACCACACAAATGATAGAAGACATTATTTCCTGACTGTAAGAGAAGAAAAAGCACCAGGTATGCAAACATGTAAAAACCTGTCCTGAGTGTTTTTATTGATCCACCTGAAGATTATTATCGCCAACAGCCCTTTTTGTCCATGCAATGAAGAATTGTGCAGTTTCACAATGCATCTTATCACTGACTTCTTTAGCCATACATCAATTTGTCGTGGAAATGATGAAAGTCTATTGCTTTTATAGCAGTTTGCTCATTAAAACCCCAAACTTTGATGTAATAACACTATGAGCCATATGCATCATTTATTATGTAACACAAACCAATTCTGCATTTCTCTAGCCAAAAAGTAAAGGATACAACTACAGTTCTGTCAGCACTTGCTGTCAAAATCATATGGCATTTTTCTTCACATGTATCTGACAAAGGAAAAGCTGCAAGAGCTGTGATTTTTTGTGTATGTGCATGTAGCTCAAATAACTTTTCTCCAGTCTGAAAAACAAAAACAAACTTGGTATTATAACAGTGTTAAATGAATACAGAAACATGTGTTATGAAGAAACAATACAAGTAATCAGAATCTTCAAAATATTATTTATTTTAAAATGAGAACTGATACTATACAATGCAAATAACTGGTCCATCTAGCTTAACCTTCCCTCACCTGCTGCTGTTATTTACCAGAAAGCCCAGCCAATTCCTATAAATCTGTTCACTGTGCTAGCTAACGATTACATTAAGTAACGGAAAACACATCTGGATAATGGTAGGCTGAGGAAGGTTAACCAACATTGTGTGGTAGAAACTCTCAAAATTTCAGGCAGGATCTTTTCCAGCAATACCACAGATTCTGTATGGGGTCATAAATGTGAATGAATGAATGAATGCAAGCATGAATGAATGAAAATCTATCCCAGAATGATGACTTTCAATTCCTTTGTAACTATTCTTATAGCAAAATCTGAAAAATATTTGTATATTTCACCATGCAAGTTTCAATGCCAGTATGAAGTACATTCTGCCTTTTCTAAAATACAATTTTAGAGCCTTTTCTAAAAATGTACCAGAGTTCTTATACTAGAAAGTTGAATTTTGTTAGTAAGACAAAATAGTTTTTTAAAAAAATTATTGTATTTGATTTGTGTTTATATTAACTAAAATTATTTATTGTATTAATGCTAGGTATGGAACATAATGAATAGATATGCAGAATCCCTAAGCCAAGTAAAATTTTTGCTCTGACTTCTTAAATTTAGTTGGCACTTTGAACAGAATACGACGTTTGTTTTTACTACTTTAGACTTTAAATGCTTTTTAAAAAGAAAAAGGTAAAAACTGACATCAGCCACACAAGGAACAGCTGAAGGATCTGCTTCAACCTATTCTGCCATCTACAAGTACTGTAGATTTGGTACAGCAACCCTTCCAAGGTACTGAACAATATGATGGTGCTGACAATGTAAGTTTGTGACCCAGGCCAAGACATTAGGACCTTTGCAACGTATGTCTTTCCACAAGTTTGCCATTACAGTTAGTACGCATTGTCTTGTGCTTGATGGGATCCTCCCCCACCCCTTTGCAGAATGGAGAGATGCCTTAAGCAATATTTTTAGACAATTTCTGCTGTGACTGACCCATTGTTTTTATCCCCTCTGTCTCGCAGAACAGAGAGACGGGAGAGGAAGAAATGACAAAGAATAAGCAGACATACAATGAGGAACACACATCTGCTAGCACAGCTGTTTGCCTGGTGCATTCAGAGCAGGGAGTCATGCACAAGCTAGCACATTTCTTTCTATGTGCATTTCCTGTTGTGTGACTACTTACTCTCTTGCAATCCCTTCCTCCCTAATAAATGTAAATACAAACAATAATTCCTTTTTTGCTAATTATCCCAGCACCTGGATGAACATTCAAAATGGGAGAATGGGAGAATGGGAGAAAAAGGAAAGCTGAAGCAAAGTAATAAACACAGTTGTGGTCTGATTATAAATGAGCAATTAGTGAGCTCCTGTGTGCACCTGTAACAAGCCTTTCAGGACTTTCCCCAATTTCCTCCAGTACCCTCCCCCCCACAGTACCCCAGCAGTCTGTACCTGGGACTCACTCTGGTTCCTGATAAACAACCAAAGATCTTGGGGTTACAATAACAAATGGAACTGCATGGATTGTCATTGCTAAACAATGCAATCACATGATGTCACGCTTTAGGATCAGATAGTTGAGCTAACTCAATCCTAGTCCCTATTGCTGTCATCTCAAGGACTACCTATATTGCATAAGTGTCTGGTTATATAAAATTAAAAAATAGTCCATTGGTTTGTTAACAGTATTACAAAAGACGTAGTTAAATAATTTCTGCACAAATATTCTAATACTGCAGATATGCAAATGTATTGATAATCTAAATGCCTGTTTCATCTTCACCTGTCAACTGTAAATTACATTCACAAACCCATGGTTCTTTATTATGACCTACAGAATGCATTTTTAAATTTATATTTCTACTTCTGCAATAATGCTTCTGTTATAAATCTTTGGAATATGAATTACAAATAGCTAATTTTATGTTCCAGCAGGTCATGAATTTAGACATCACCCACATCACCATCTACATCTATGAATATTTTTATAAACAATTGTTTAATTTCCTAAACAAACCTGGACATTCCAGAGACATACAATTCCATCATCACCAGCAGATGCAAACCTAGTAATGAAAAAAACATATTGAAGACATCTGTAATTACATTACAAAAAAGCAATAAAAATGTTTATTGATAATCATTATTTAAATAGACCAGTGACAGATATATATACAAAGAGAGATAAAACATTAACAGAACTTTAGAAAGTATACTTAAATCTCCAAAATGAGATTTTGTTTTTATTATTGAATAAATGTGTATTATATTCTTATATGATCAGGCTTCCATTTCTAGCACCTCTGCATTCATTTGTTGTAACCCTAAAACACTTTTGGTATTCATTATTTTAAAAGTAATGGTTGAATCCAGATAAGAAACACTAGCCCCCTACAAGCTAAATTTAATTCTGAAACTATATATTGAATTACTACTATCACATTATGTAACACATACTTTTTAAAATCTTCTACAAAGAATTAATGTCTCAATAAGAACAATGTTTTTTTTAAATTAAACTATGAAACTCAGGCTTTCATGTGACATTCTCCTGCCAGATCAATCTCATATTGCAAATGGATTTCTTTTCACCAAGTTGGTGTTTCATGGGTCATCTGATTCTTTTCCAGTCATGATCACCATCCTCTATAATCTTGTCTATTTCCTGGAGGAGCACCAAATGGTCAAACAAGCAATTTTTAAAGTGTGTTACGAATTCAGTCCAGTTTAATGTGTCAAATGCTAGAGTATTACTTGCAATTTTATTTCATTCCATTTTTTGAAAGATGCTTGCTAAGGCTTAGCCTTCTTTAGTGATCTTGCAATCAATATGACCTTCTCTTCATGTTCAAAAACATAAAAGAAAAGAAGTGAAAAGCAGCTGCCTGTTAGGTTGATACAGGATTTATTTAGTATCTTCAGAAACCAATCTGAGAAAATTTTCCACTCACTGGTTTTAGCTGAGCCACAGAGAAAACAAGAAAATCCCTCTGCAAAATTCTCAATAAGATGAAATTATCTAGAGAGCTGAAGCATGAAACCTGGCTTACAACAGTTGACAAAAATGCAATCAAAGAACTATGAAAACTAAATGAAATTGTTTCAGAAACCAGGTAACAATGCTAATATTGTTGGAAGTATTCAAATAAGATAATCATGTTTTAGTTAAAAATCCTCTAATGACTGAATTAGGAACAATGAAAATAAAATTGTATTATAATTAAAGGAAGATGCAATGTTCTTGTGTATAAATTATTCCTCTTTAAATATTATCCAAAAAGTGATTTTAGTTTAATATGTCAAATTTACTTTAAAACTCGGTACTACATTTCACTGTGTAAACTTAACTATTCAAGTAAAGAAACTTGAATTTAACATTTGTACAAATTAACAGAACCTGCTCTTCAAAAATATGGAATAAATGTCATATGTCTGAGAGATATAATTGATAACAATAGATAATTTGTACAGTTTATTCTATCTGTTCTGTGATTCACCAAAATCACAGTAAGGTATCTTTTGTTTTGTGTAAAATGCTTTCTTTCCAATTTTGCTGATAAGAAAACTTATAAAATGTATATAACTGTTGTGAAATAATGCATTTTGAGACATCTGTTTCCAGTGAAGTGGGGAAAGCTAATGGCAATTAAAATCATACAACTTGCTCTGTCAAAATCTTTAACAGATGTCTTTTAATTGGGTTTTCGCTGAAGGCTTGTAGGGATTTCTTGTATCAATTCATATATAAGAACTAAGCTGTTCATCATATATTTTTCAATTTGGGAAAGCAAAACATTAAGATTCATTTTAAAAAAATAATTGAAGTCATCTTTACAGTGCAAACGAGGAATACAGAAGTAATGTCTCACCTGTAGTCATCAATTGCCACTAGAAAACGCACTATATCATGGTGACCTTTCAGCACAAGAAGCTCAGTATATGGATTCTGAGCTTGTTCTTCACCAATAGTCTGTATAGATTTCTAGAAAAATAAAACTGAGCATCACACAATTTATAGTCTTAATATTTTTCAATCAATAGATTATACCCATTTTCTACTCCTCTTAGTCTGATCCTAACTCCTGATTTAATATACAATATTTGTATATTCAGCCCCACTTAAAAGCCAAAGTATAAGCAGATATATTTATCATGCGTAATATATTGTATGTATGGAAACAATTCTTCTTAAATTTAGTTAAAATTCTATTGTATAAGTATCCTGTTAGTTTAAGCATAGCTGCATATTTTCCAAGTTTAAGTTCCCAGTCAGATATTGTTGGAATTGTATTTTGCCTTCCAATATTGAGTCTAGTTGATTTTTGCTGCTCTAATCATGTATCTCTTTAAATTATTTTTCTTGATTTTTTTTTTCTTGAGATTTACTACTAGGAAAAATTGTGATTTTATTTCAAATCACAATTTTCTGCATTATATTATGTATGGCTTTCTAGTACATTTAAGTTCTTTTACATGTCATCACGTGGTAAAATGTTCCTTCTGTTTCGTGACATTTCCAACATTTATTGCAGTCTGATTTGTTTCAGTTATTATTGGTGGAGTTGTATACCATCTATACAACATTTTAAAATATCTAGGGCATAGGGACTGGTATCTCACACTGCTTGTCTTCATTTGTTTATCAGACTATTTCAGTCTGGGCTGTCTCTATGATTTTATGGTTTTGGTTTTTCTTCCTTTCCTTTTTTGCTAGCTTTGTATGACATCCAGAGTCAGCTGGAGGTAGGCATCTAATAAATTTAAATAAATGCATTTTGTACCAATTTTCCTTTAAGTTATAACTTGGTGTTTGAATAGTGAAAGTAGCTGAAAGTGATAAGCAGACTAGAAAGCACCTTTTCTGAGCCCATTGTTAATTTTGAATGGTCATGGTTGTTAAATGACCAGTCGTATGTCAAGGACTACCTTGTATGTCCAAAAATAGCATAGCTGATAGTCAGCTGGCAAAGGAAATAGGCATAATGAAGTAGGAAGACTGTATATGACTTCTCAACCACTTCTTCCTCACTTGCCTTCTATCTACTGATCTGTTTAACAGCCTATACATTGCTGTCTGTAAACAAAAGGGGGAATTACATTTAACCTGGGAGAGAGAGATTGCTGGTTCAGTCTTAAATGAATCATTTAAAGGTTTCTGCTATTTCTGTCAATAGTGGGTTTTGCATGACTCTCCTATTCTTATTAAGTGAGAGGGAGGCAATACCATTCTATATGTTCTAAGGCCATTTTATGTACTTCCAGATCCTGCAGACTGTAGCCAATCACTGGCAGCACTATATTGTTTAGATACTTAACAATTTAGGAGCGAGGATGAACTTGACAAAACATTTGGCAATTTCTTCCTCTATTGTAATCTAAGTGACAGGAAAATTAGTAAACCAAGTCTTAAGTCTTCTAGGTGGCTGTTAAACTCATATCGTTTCCATTGAAAAAGGAGTGCATTTAGTCTAAGAAGCTGAATATCAGCCATTTCCCATTTTAAATCCACTTTTCTTTTCTCAAGAGTTCTCTCTCACTTTCAACGATTTCTCTTCCATGTTTCTTCAGTCTGTTGCCTCGGTTTCCTTTATTTATTCCTTTCTTTTAAAAGAGGAAGAAAGAGTAGCTGCGCAGTTCAGTTTCATATTCACTTAAAACAATCACACAGAGAAGGGGCAGGAACTCCGTCTGAAAAATAAGAGGCGATTCTCCTACTTGGAGCAAAGCAGTTGCAGGGATAAAGGTTCTTCTGTAGTTACCAAGGGGGTCGGTCTTTCGCAACTTGCGAGGTCTCTAAAAAAATAACCAGCTTCCCTAATTCCCAGCAACGTGGGAACTCTGGGAATTGGGAAGGGCCGCCTCTTCGGGGGGGGCTTGGAGAAAACTACCACCTGCCAAGGCTCAAGGCTGTGTAACTGGCCTACGCATAAGGGAAAAAAAGCCCTCGACACTGCTCTGGTTTCCTCAAAGGCAGATGCAGCGCTGCGTCCACCGGGCAGAAAGGAAATCAACAAAATGCCTCCCTTTGTCAGGACAGGAAAAGGGAAGGATTCCGTTGACGCGCCGCACCTCCACTTATCAACGCCCCTCCTCGCGACCCATCGCGGGCTTTTACCTCGGCCAACCCTTGCGGCTCGCGGCCCCCTCCTATCAGCCACCGCAGCATTGCGAGAGGCGGAGTCCGGGCGCCTGGAATGACGGCCTTCGCGTCTCCGGTTGAAATGCCGGTAGTTGTCAGGCACAGCTGGCGTCCCTGGGCTTAACGCGGAAGGCTTGTCCCTCACCTCTCGCCGTACTTGCAAGGGGGGTGGTGGCAGGGAGAGGGGAGGGGAAGAGGCGACGGAGAGGCCGGTACTGGAATGAGGGGGCTGGTCGCGGGAGGAAATTTAGAAGATACCTCCGCGGCTAATCGGCCCATGAGATAGAAACACTGGTTTTTCCCTCAACTCCTCTGCAGGTTTCCTGGATGTTAAACTAGATCCGACTAAAGTAGATCCGACTAGATGCTTAACTAGATCCGGCTAAACTAGATCGAACTAGATACTAAAGTAGATCCGACTAGATGCTAAATTAGAGCCGGCTAAACTAGATCGAACTAGATACTAAAGTAGATCCGACTAGATGCTAAATTAGAGCCGGCTAAACTAGATCGAACTAGATGCTGAACTAGATCCGACTAAACTAGATCCGACTAGATCAGTGGTTCTCAACCTGTGGGTCGGGACCCCTTTGGGGGTCGAACGACCCTTTCACAGGGGTCACCTAAGACCATTGGGAAACACATATTTTCAATGGTCTTAGGGATAATTTTATGGTTGGGGGTCACCACAACTTGAGGAACTGTATTAAAGGGTCACGGCATTAGGAAGGTTGAGACCCACTGGACTAGATGCTAAATTAGATCCGACTAAAGTAGATCGAACTAGATGCTAAATTAGATCCGACTAAAGTAGATCGAACTAGATGCTAAACTAGATCCGGCTAAACTAGATCGAACTAGATGCTAAACTAGATCCGGCTAAAGTAGATCGAACTAGATGCTAAACTAGATCCGGCTAAACTAGATTGAACTAGATACTAAACTAGATCCGGCTAAACTAGATCCAACTTTGCTAAACTAGATCCGACTTTGCTAAACTAGATCCAACAAATGGACAACTATTTGACCAGGATGTTATAAGTTTCCTGCCTTGAGCAAGGGGTTGGACTAGAAGACTTCTAAGGTCCCTTCCAGCCCAACAATTCTATGTTATATGGTATATCAGGTGCCAAATTGGCACCCTGTCAATCTTAATACATGAGCCAGGAGGTCTTCCGTCAACCTGGTGCTCTCTCGATATATAGGCTTTCAATTCCCTCGATTCCCAGCCAGCATGACCTGAACTGGCTCGGAATGGAGGGATCTGGATTTGAAATATCCACAGGTTATGGGAGGTTGGATGCTTTTATAAGGGGAGTCACAGTTTTCAGCAATTGCATGACAGGCATAAAATCAACAGGAGCCATTTTTTCTCCTTGCCTGTAAGTGGGAATACCGTCAAGTGTTTATCTCCTATTGGTATTTTGTGGTATTTTGAAGCAGGAATGAGCACTCTGATTTTCCAGATTTTGAGCTCCAACTCAAACTAATATGGGAAAGAGTCAACTATTGGAGTAATCCAGCACAAAATTTGGAGAAGCATCTACCATAATGCCATCTCTGTCTTTCTTAAAGAGGTAGCCTTCTAAGTTCAGTCTCCACTTTTTAAAATAAAGAAGATGAAGGTTATATTAAGTAATATTATATTGGTTATTACAGAACAGGACACATATTGAATGAAGAATACCCCTTGATTATTCTGAAAAGTCTGATAAGATCATGGGTTGTCCAGTTTAAGAATTAATATCTCCTCACCCTGTGCTGTTAATCATTAAAACCCCAACACTTTAGGGTTGTCCTTAGATAGGGTAACCTGATTCATAGGGTGGAGTGTGGTCCTTTGAAGGGTTCTGTTTTACATGGCTAATACATTGATGCATTAATAACTATATTATTTCCAAGCACAGTTCAAATGTCAGAAAGTGTCAGAAGTTACCTTCTTGCATTTAAGTAGGTTGTGAAAACCGTTGTTTTACAATTAACTTTCTGCTCCAGATAATTAGTCCACGAGTCTTCCTTCAAGCATGTATATTTTTGTTTAATCTTTAATTGAATATTACCATATTATAATATTCTGTTTTTACAAGAGTTTTAAAACTGTTTTTATAATTGTATATTGTGCAGAATATAAGATTGACCTGTTAACAAATACAGCAGGTAAAGAAATTAATAAATCTATGGAAACTGTTCTGGCTCTCTATCATAGATAGTTAAATACCTAATTATCTTAGGTAATTATCATGGAGAAAGATCACCCTGCAGTGACAATTGAAACAGAATTTCCTCTCTGGACATTTCACGAAACAGTTTGTTACTTGCATAACAAATAAACCTTGTGAGGTTTATTGACCAGTATTAAATTATTTAGTGCTACTTAACAGTTTTCAGATCTAAACCAGGAAAAGTTTGTGGTATTGCACCAAAAGCTATAGAAGGCCTACCCATCAGAAAGCCTACAGGATACTGATTCTGTCCATTTTATTGATGCAAGAGAATTCCATAAGTCTATTATTTTAACTCTTGCTCACCGTTTTGTAGGAATAAGTAAGTATTCCAAACAAAACATCTTCTTTATGTATTTATTAAATGTATTTAATAAATAAACATTTATTAAGATATCCAAACAACTGAGAGCTCCTTTCGTGTAGTGGCTCAGAAGCTGAACTAAAAACTGGGAGACCATGAATTCTGGTCCTCCTTTAGTCATGGAAGCCAGCTGTATGATTTTGAGGCAGTCATTCTTTCTTAGGTCAATCCACCTCACCGGATTTTAGTCGTGGGGAAAATAGGAGGAGTGGCCATTATGTATGCTGCCTCAAGTTGTAAAAATAAAGGTTGGGATATAACCCTAATATATAATAATTATTGTTTTAATCGATCAAAAGGCCAGAAAGAATAATGTTACTACTTAAGTTTGTAGTTTGGGTTTACCTAGAGTGCATTTACATAGCAATGTTTCCCAATCCAGTGCTTTTCCCCAAGTTCTATTAATATATTCTGCAGTGGCATTAATTTTTTGAAGGAAGGGTCAGATACTAGTCAAGTTGATGATTTGCTTTTGGAAAAAAACATTATAGAATTTATCCATGTCCGACATCTGCTTGGTTATTTTCAGAACAAATTTAGCAAGAGTTTATTATCTGGACTAGAGAGAGGGTGGAATTGGAAGTGGGCGTTTGACACTTTGTAATGATGTGCTAGATTTCTCTGCATGTGTTCTGAAGTCATGCTGCACTTGGCCACACACTCCCATTGGAGATTTATTTTGGAAGTTGGCATATGATCAGAGGTACTCTGTCTTGATCTTTTACATTTTTAATATTGATATCTGTAATAGACATCCCTTAGCAATGCATCAATTGGCTAAGGCACAATCAAGTACAATCACTGTACAAAGCAACAGAAGGAACTAAAACATCCCCTGTGTTTAAAGAAAATTACTACTGTTAGGAGAGCTTTTAATGCAAATTAGCTATAAGGAGCTTTTGCTAGTCCAAGTCTTTGTGAGTTCATTGATCCTTTCTCTCCCTCCCTCCCTCCCTCTCTCTCTCTCTCTCTCTCTCTTTGTCACCATCTTTATATTCTAAGGAGCAGTTGTAGATTGCTTAATGGGAACCAAGAGACATGCTGTAGTTTTTCATTTGTTGTTACAGAATTTCTAATGAGTATTTTGGTGATGACACAAATATTTTGCCTATTATCCACAGTGCCTCATTCCAAGACAGGCTTTTTAGTAAATGGTTTATTGGTGTAACTGCACATAGTCAGCCATGAGAAATTAAACAGATTGCCATCTATCCTGTATAAACATTGCACTTTATTTTCTCATCATGCTCCTTGTAAAACAATGATTAATAATAGGAAGCTGTTTGCATATTCATACACCATTTGATAAATGGAGTTCAGAGCAGATCACTTCAGTTGTCAGGGATGCTGTTGGATCAGGACCTCATGTGTCACATGCCAAAAGAGAGCTGCTGTGATATGACTGTGAACCCCCAGATGGCATTATAGCCTTGGTTTATTATGTTTTTGTACTGAAGGAATTTTTACTTTGATTTAGGCTTCTTTTTTCCCTTTCCAATTCCTCATGATAGATTTGATCAAAAGAAATCGAATCTTACTTTCTTCTGTTTACTTTTAAAGATTCCAGGTATTCTAGGACCCATCTATGAGAGCAGAAATTGTACTCTTAATGCATTCAGCAAATTAATGCTTACCACATAATGAGATCTTGCAGCCACTCTTCAGTAAAAACCTCCCCATAGATTTTAATTGTTATAGCTGCGGTCAGATTATTTACATTTTAACAGATTTATGAGAAACGTGAATTTACTAAAGTTTTATTGCACACAAATATTAAAGTGATGCTATGTATGATGGAACCTGGATAAGATTATTGTCATATTGTTGAAGGCATCAGTTAACTAGCAGTTTTGTTATGGCAATTCATATTGTCATGGAAAATATTCGTTCTTTTGAAGGAAAAAATGGTGTGTTTTTTCATTACCCTCTATTAACTTCTTTTAGGCTGATAGGAGGGTCACTCATTTTCATGTAAGTCAAAGAAAAGGATTTTTGCTAAAATGTATTAGGGAAACCTCTACCAAATAGAAACTTGATGCTACTGGGGGACTTATGGGGAAGAAGGTATGCAACAGAAAGCAGAGTCAGTGACTGCAGCGGAATGAGGTGCTGGTGAATAGACCATATTTTGATAACTCCTCTCTGGACAAGGAGATAACTTGAGATTGCCTAGAAGTGCTCCAGGCAGTTGCTCCTTGTAAAAAGACCACAAGGTAGTGGTCTGTGGAGGATTTAGAGTTCTGGAAAATGAGGAAATAGCCATCTTCCTCAAAATACAGTTGGTGCCTTTAAAACGATACTAGATTTTCATATTTTCTTTTCAATCACTTTTGGA